CTTACAGTGTGCTGTCTTCTCACTGTGTCCTCACAGTGTGTCTCTCTCTTCCCCTTCTAATAAAGACACTAATCCCATTCATGAGGGTCCCACCCTCATGACCTCATCTAACCCTAATTACCTCCTGAAGGTCTCATCTGCAAATACCGTAACCTTGGGGGTTGTGGCTGGAACACGTGAATTTAGTAGGGGGACACCAACATAACAAATGTAATGATAAGAGAGGCTGTTTACCCATCTGCAGTACTTTGCTTGATATGTAATGAGTTCTGAACAATGATTGCTGAATTCTGTGAATGACATTTATACTTTTCGTGGTTGTAAAGAGTCACCCATGCAATGTGAATTCAGAGGGAGGGGGATAATCATGGGAAAAGATAAAAGTGTTATCTATTACCTCAGAGAACAACATCAAGGAATTAATTTCTTGAGCAATAACCTCAACCCAATCTCAACAAGGTGAGTCACTTCAAAAGCCCTCCTCTAAATGCTAGAGAACACTTACAGGGAACTACTTGTCTTCTATTTTTAAAAGTCATTGGAAGACCATCCCAGCAGCGTTCTCCTCAGCCATTACTGGTCAGAGAGGCTTAGTCAAAAAACATCTCTTGAAGGAATACAACGATTTGCTAAGTTAAGAGAGTTTCAGGGTCCTAACCCAATTTTACAGGTATAGCTTTGCCTTGGAAACAAAGATGGCAACTGTGACCTCGGCATTCATAGAGTCACTTCTATATATGGTCAAAGTTAGTGTCAGTCCCAGAATCTCTGGATTCTGGGTAGAGGAAGGAATAAGCCTATTGCAGAAGAAGGAGACGTGGATAAGGAGCGTAGACAAGATTAAAAGAGATTTAATTAAAAACTAGATGTGATCTATTCCATATCCCTACCATAACCTGACTTCTGGAAGATCCTATTATGATGGAGAGGGAAAACATTTCCCTTCTCAAATCTACAACCTCAATGCAAGCACATCTACTATCCTCCTAGGAACTGAGGATGCCCAATGCTCCAGAGCTTTATGGAATACTAAAGATCTGCTCATGGAAGGGCTGGGAAGCATGAAGTAGAGGAGGAAAACTAATGCTAGAAGAATGGGCATAGTGGTTCCACGACTCCTTCCACATCTCCATAGGCTAGGGCAAACCTGATCTTACAGGATCTCTCTACCTCTCCTGAAACTGAGTGAAGGAAGCCTGGGCTACTGTGGTGCCATTAGTCACAAAAGGATCTCATACTGACCCAGGAATTGGGATTTGACAATTGAGTTTGCTTTAGTAGGTTTCTAGAAGAGGATTTAGTGCTGTATGACACCACGAGAACCCAAGATTTCTGATCTGTAATCTATCATGTAAAGTGATAAGCTACTTATATGTGTTCTTGCTCATGGATCATTTTAAATGGAAAACAATAGAACAGGCCCACATGGAGCCAGCTGTTATCTAAGAACACTATTCTATAGATGTTGGTGGTAGTTGCATTAGTCAAAAATGTAAGAAAATCAGAGTCAGTCTCCAGACAGAACCCTCCTATCCTATTTTCCATGTCAGTCTAACAGCAACTAAGAAATCCAAAGAGCCTCCCTTCTCCCCACCCCACCCAACTCCTCACAGAGAGCTGACACCCTGCTCTGGGGGTGTCAGCTCTTGCATATAGCCCCCACAAAGTCACAGGTGTCAAATCCCCTCCTCTAATGGTCAATGTCACAGGAAAAGACCAGACAGTTGGTTCCCAAGGTGTGCTTAGACAGCTTCTGTAAGTATGAACTGGAGCTTGGGAGACTAACCAAGGAATCTTCTAAAGACGAAGTCAATGATATCTCCCAGCGTATCTTGGATTACTGGAGAATAGGAAATACATAACACAGTAGATTTCCAAGAACCTAATGACTTCAAATTTGGACTTGTTGGGCTTATGGATTCTGTAATTTATCTTATGAACAATCTTTGCACAAAGAGCAAGTGTCCAAGACAGCCAAAACTTTTATTAGTGTTCTCTTGAGGCCAAGAGCACTTTTTCCTAACCCTCTCCTTCACGGCTCTTAACCCACCACTCCCACCTGCTCAGTACTCCTCTCCTCCCTGAATTGGTGACAGCTCACCATTTACTACCAAATAATTACAGCTCTTTGTACATCTCTCCATTCAGCAATCCTAGGATCACCTGCCAATCCCAAAATCTCCTGAACTCCTTCTTGCAGGAATGGGTGCATTTTGCTCCAACTATTCTAAAAATTCCTACTCATGTTCTAAACCTCAGCAACAATTTTTGAAGTAGTGGCTAAGAGCAAGTATGCTAGAGCCAGACTGAGTTAGTCTCCTAACTCTGCTGTCTACTAGCTATATGACCTTGACCAAGTTAATGCCTATCTCTTAGTTTCTTTTGTAAAATGGAAGAAAGAATTGTGCCCACCTCAGATGACTGTTGTGAGGTTAGGGCTTAGAGCAGTGCATGCACCCAGGAAACTCCACAAAACTTTTAACCATTACTGTGATTCAGAGATTTCCCTGACTCCCCCCGGAAGAGTGAAAGTCTTCTTTCTCTGTGCTGCCATCGTATCTGGTGTTGACTTGAGTTAAGGCAATTACCTTAACAACCCTTCAACAACTGTTTAGATCACTGTGTCCATTAGACTGTGAACTCCTTGAGAGCAGCATGGTCTTGTTATTGCCACTGTATCCTCACATGACACAAGGCCAGGCAGAAAATAGATTCAACTAGTTCTTCTATAATGCTAGTTTTGAAATACAAATAGTTCAAAGACAATTGACATATGTATTAGGGAACTGAGAATAATGTGAATTTCATGTTTTCTTGCATGTAACTCCACTTTCAAGAAAGTAGGTGAACACAGAAAACTGAACGCAGCTGAACTGAACTGAGTAAGAAAGCTCAACATGCACACATGCATATACCTCAAACATCGATCAGCTACTTCAGTTCACCACTTGTGTTATGAGCCACACCCATTCACATCTGGTATTACAACTTTCTGACCAATTTCATTTCATTTTATTTATTTTTTAGAGACAGGATCTCACTCTATCACCCAGGCTGGAGTACATGGCATGATTATAGCTCACTGTAGCCTTGAACTCCTGGGATCAAGTGATCCTCCTGCCTCAGCCTCTCGAGTAGGTAGAATTACCGGTGCATGCCACCATGGCTGGCTACTTTTTTGTAGAGATGGGCTCTCACTGTGTTGCATGGACTGGTCTAGAACTCCTGGGCTCATGATGCTCCTGTCTTGGCCTCCCAAAGACAGGAGGGATTACAGGTGTGAGCCGCTGTGCCCAGCCCATCAGTGTTGTGCCCCTACCTTCATTTTTCCAATAGGTCCTGTGGTCTTTATTGCATAACTTTACATAGTGTGATGAGTTTAACAATATGTCTCCTTATAATAAAAAGAACTGTATTCAACCGACTTGTGGTTGATGGTAAATAACTCTTTTTCTTCGTGGATACCTAAGACTCCTGAAACTGTAGGAACCCCTATTCATCAGCAAAAGCTGTTTGGACTAGCAGTCTGTCCCACAATTAAAAGCAATATATATTTATTCATAGCTAACTACATGCCAGACTTGTGGTGAGCAGTAGAGACACTGTGGCTAATAAAAAGCAACATCTGCAACTCTTTTGGTCTAGTGGGAGACAAGAATTGAGAGACAAGAAATTACAACAGATTGGGCTAGATGCTATTAAAGAATAAAGCAACGAATTTTCTCCAGGAAGGAAAGACCTCCCTGAGAAAGTGTTCCTTTCCCAGATCTTTCCACCCGATAGTCTCTTTCCTGGCTTGCCCCCATTTCTGCCTCCTTACTGTACTTCCTGAGTCACCAGCCCATCAGCACTGAGCAGAGAGATACAAAAAGAGTTAATGTGGCACAGGTGGGAGGGAGAAAGGCCCTGAGGGAAGCAGGTAGAACAGCCACATAAAGAGCCCCACAGGCACTGATTAAAGCAAAAAGAAGCTGCCAACACACAGTGCTTGAGATCTTTCCCAGTCAAGCCTTCTGCTGGTAATTTCTTCCTCATTCATTTATCCATTCAACATGTATTAAGCTTCTTGGGTGGGCTAGATCCTGGGAGAAGTCAATCTACTCGTGCTGCCTCCTCCAATGTCAGAGATGCTTCTTCCTCAGATGGCTGCTACTCTGAGTTGAGTGCCATTTTCTCCATGTCACCTCCTCTCCCTCTGGCATGCCAGGAATGAGACTCTAGTGGGACCCACTTTCGTATCGTGAAGAAGGAAAGGAAACGGAGAAGAAAAGTCCTGCTTCATACTGCCATCTCTCTCTCTGTTGCTCCCCAGCCCCAACTTCAACTCTCCAGCTGGTGTTCAGCATCAAGTTCAGAACGTAAGCACCCTGCACCCCAAAAACCTAGCAAGTTTTCCCTTGCCACACCAAGCTCCCAGATTCACTCCAGATTCCATCTGCCTCCCACTACGGTTTCTCCCTTTCTTTCTACTCTGCCTCCTCTCTTCCAGGATGGTTGGTGCAGAGAATGGGCAATTGCTCAGAGCTGGGCAAACCTTAATATCACTGTACCCACCAGCTCTATACAGCTGAAGAAGCTGAGGTCCAGAGGTCTTGCCCAAGGATACACAGGCAGGGACAGGACAGTCGGAAGCCTGATTCCCCACCCTGCCCACAGCACTGGCTTTCTCCTCATAGAGACTGAGACTGACTCTATTTGGACCCTGAGGAAGAAAAGTATTCATCTCCGCTCCACCCTCTGCTGACATCCAGTTAGAAGGCTCTCTCTGGCTATCTATACCAGCCACTGCAGCAGGCAGCCTCTTCCTCACTACCCCTTCCTCCCACTACAATACGTATAAACTTTTAGGAGCAAAGGATTCTCCTATCTAAGATAGAATTTCGACTTTAATTATCCATCCAAACCCCCACTAACCAAAAGTTATAACCCTGTGATCCTCCCAGCCCTGCACTACTCCTACACATATGCCATGGATGGGTTTGTGCCACTGTGACACCCCCAAAATCTCTCCCCTTGTCTTTCCTATCAGGAGTCATGCCCCCCATGAGCCCTCAAGTTGTGCCCACCACAGAATGACAGAAACTCTACAACTCAATTTCACCTTCCCACACCCAACCGTCTTCATACTGACTGGCTTTCCAGGGCTAGGAAGTGCCCAGACTTGGCTGACACTGGTCTTTGGGCCCATTTATCTGCTGGCTCTGCTGGGCAATGGAGCACTGTTGGCAGTGGTGTGGATAGACTCCACACTACACCAGCCCATGTTTCTACTCTTGGCCATGCCAGCAGCCACAGACCTGGGCTTAGCCACATCTATAGCCCCAGGGTTACTGGCTGTGCTGTGGCTTGGGCCCCGATCTGTGCCATATGCTGTGTGCCTGGTCCAGATGTTCTTTGTACATGCACTGACTGCCATGGAATCAGGTGTGCTTTTGGCCATGGCCGGTGATTGTGCTGTGGCAATAGGGTGTCCACTGCACTACCCTGTCCTGGTCACCAAAGCCCATGTGGGTTATGCAGCCTTGGCACTGGCACTGAAAGCTGTGGCTATTGTTGTACCTTTCCCACTGCTGGTGGCAAAGTTTGAGCACTTCCAAGCCAAGACCATAGGCCATACCTATTGTGCACACATGGCGGTGGTAGAACTGGTGGTGGGTAACACACGGGTCAGCAATTTATATGGTCTGGCACTTTCACTGGCCATCTCAGGTATGGATATTCTGGGTATCACTGGCTCCTATGGACTCACTGCCCATGCTGTGCTGCAGCTGCCTACCCGGGAGGCCTGTGCCAAGGCCTTTGGTACATGTAGTTCTCACATCTGTGTCATTCTGGCCTTCTACATACCTGGTCTCTTCTCCTACCTCACACACCGCTTTGGTCATCACACCGTCCCAAAGCCTGTGCACATCCTTCTCTCCAACATCTACTTGCTGCTGCCACCTGCCCTCAACCTCCTCATCTATGGGGCCCGCACCAAGCAGATCAGGAACCAACTCCTGGACACCTTCACATTCAGAAAAAGCCCGTTGTAATGTCCAGTGGTAACAATGGAGCCTAAGAGTGGAGGTGAGGGGACACTCGGAGGGGAGTCTGGGGGTGTGAATTATGTTATCTTCATCCCACTGTCTGCATATGACTGTTACCATCATTTAACAGGTAATTGTTGTGGAGTCCCTACTATGTGCAACACTGGCATCTGTAAACTTTGACTTAAACATGTATTCTGCTTGGGAGGAGGCAGGAGGTAGAGGTCAGGGGGCTACACTACCATGCAGGAAAAATCAGTGAAGGATCATAATAAACAAGATCTAACTTAACTCCCCTTCCTGCTCGCCACCTCCATTATTTCAGTCTAAGTCTTCCCATGCTCCCACACAAAAGCTCCTCTATAGATCTCAAACTTGATGGATGTGCTTGGCACTGCCGCAGATGGTGGCGCTGTCCCTGGAGTCAAGTGCTTGGGTACCTGTCTGAAATCACAGCCCTCTCTACTCCTGGAGCCAGATTGTGTTTTCAGACTGCCCTCAGGAAACGAGGTATTATACAGGCTAGTCTCCCACCTTCTGATAATCTAAATAATGTGCCCTGTGGTACCAATTTGGCCACTTCAAATTCAAAGAATCCTCTTTTGGTCTCATCTGTAATCACTATTCTTCCTTACCCCAACTCCCACCAAAGCCCCCAAAATTAACAGCTAGAACTTCTTCCCCTTTGACTGCAGCTTCAGAGGTCAGGGGTCCACTGAAAGAAATGTTGATATCCCAGAAAATCACTGCAGCCGCATCATCTGATTGCCTGAGGCTGCATTACTACGGTTTCTTGTCAATCTGCCCTTTTGTGCACCCTCAACAAGAAGGTACAATCCCCAAATAAAATCCCCATCGGCACCCCCATTTGTCTTCGCCAACATCATTAGAAGCACATGACGTTAGTGCAATATGATAAATGAAACATTTCGCACTTCTGTACCTGCCAGAGCAAGAACAGGAAGTGTGGCGGTGTTGCCCAACAGGGGATTCATTTTCAGCTAAGACACCACACTGGAAGGGACATTGCATAACAAAAGGTCTTTAATACCATCATGGAGTTCAGCATAGGTATAATATAATAAGTATAATATGGCAGGGAGTCAGTGTTATGAGATCAGAAAAAGCTGCAGACTGCAAAGGCAAACCCAAGCTCTCCAGGAAAACTATCATAACCACAGGTATTGGAGTTAGACATGAAAACCTGAAGCGAAGAGCAACCCAGTCCGCTCAGCACAGATAGCTGGACCAAGCTGGACCACGGAACACCACACAGATAAGGAAGCTGCAGATCAGAAAAAGATGATGCCATCTCCGGTGCCACACTGGGTCTTACCAGGTCATCAATAACAAGGACTAAAGAGTCCAGAAGCTCTGTATGATTTTCAGAGGCATCATCACACTGCACATAACTAGATACAGAGGAAATCTACAGTCAACCTAAGTGTGGGCTCATTCATTCTCAAGACTAATTTTTTTTCATGAGGTTCTGAGTTTAAACGGCCTCCAAGCAATGATTTTGCAGATAACTGTGACACAATTCTAATCCTAATGAGTCACAAGTCTTGAAGATGTTCATATCCTTCTCTTACTCTAAATTCCCCTTTATTGCAGTGAGCTGTGATCACACCACTGCACTCCAGCCTGGTGACAATGAGACCCTGTCTCATAAATAAATAAGTTCCCCCTTAATAAATCTATCCTAAGAAAATAATTGACATGTGAACAAGCATATATGCAGTAAGATATTTATTGATTATAAATAAATATGTGTGATAATCCTGTGTCTCACATATATACAGGTATACGATTTTTTGCCTTTCCCCTCTGATACACGAAAGGGAAATCATCTGCAGCCAACATTCATAAACAATGAATTCTGTCACCCTCCCACTACATGAAGACTCTCTTCTAAGGCACCTTCAACTCCTGGTTGTGCACAACTTTTCAAGGTAGCTGGTTCCAGAGCTGTACGTTGTCCATTGTAGCGACTTTCTTCCTTCAAGCTAAAAATCCACTCCCTTGGACATTTGTATCTTGTTCCAAATTGAGATTGCATACATACCTGCCATATGATAGTTTCAAGAGTTTTACCACACTCTCATTCCTCATGACAACCTGAGAATTAATTATAAGCCCACAATCCCTCATCCATAATTCCAAAATTAAAAAAAAAAACTCTGAAGAAACAATATTTTTTATAACTTTGGCCCAAAACCTGACACCTCAACCATCATGATCCTATTTATAATCTTTATTTATCTTATTTAGTGTGAATATTCATACATCTAACTTCAGAAGTGTTGATGTGTTTGATTATAGGGCACTGTCCTGAATCCCACCAGGGTATTCCTTAATACAGGACATATATATATATATATATTATATTCCTTTTCTATAATCTGAAAAAAACTGAATTCCAAAATATCTGTCCCTAAAAGTTTCAAATAAGGTATGAGGGGTCTGTGTGATTATCCTTGAAGTCTGAGAGACATGAAGAGACTTGTTAAGGCTCTTTATCACTCTAAAGTCTTTGCTGTCAATACTATTCTATACTGCCCTACAGGTTCATACTGAGAACCTCATGTTCTCTGGATAAAAAGATCCATCTGTTCGTTACCCTCATGCTCTCCATTCAGATCACTCTCAGATACCCTACAGATGATCTGTCTCTCACGCCACACCAGAGGCAAATCCTATAAGCAGGACATGGCCCAAAGAGCCCAGCCCTTAGGCTCACCATCTCCATCCAGGACCCAGTTGCCATCCATTTTCCTTCAGTAACTTTTAGACTCAGTCTTTCTGAGTCAAAAGGAAAGACCGACCGACTTAGTGTTGGGGTAGATCAGTAGGGAATTTAGGGATCTTAGGGAATCATGACAATCAGGCAGCAGAAGAATGTATGGGCTTCTGACTGAGGAGTAATCAGACAGAAGTTTTCACTCCCAATTTCCCCTCTGAGCCCCTCTCGCAAAAGTCCTAAAGAGATACTCCTCGTCCTTTTTTTTTTTTTTTTTTTGTATAAATTCAAAGGGTACAAGGGCAATTTTGTTATATGCAGACTGCACGGTGGTAAAGTCACCACAGTCCACCATCCCTGCACCAATCTCATTCCTCTCCTTCTCATTCTGGAATCCCCTTGGGATCTGGATGTACACCATTCTCTATCAGTCACTCTCACTGTCTCTATATCGCTACATCTCTGTCTCCTTGCACCATTTGTCAGTTTTATCCCATATCTATGTCTCTTGTTCTTGTGTATGTCTCTCTCTTGCTCTATCTCCACCTGCCTCACTCAGAATTCTTTCCTGGAGAGAACAGAGGTGCAGCTATACTACACCAGGTGACCTCTTTTTGTCAACCATAATCAAAATGTGCTAAAGGGGCATTAGAAGGAAGGGATTTGGTTTCACTTGTCTTAACAAGAAACTTGGGGTTTCTGATTTGGCTCATCATGGCTCCTCTTATCCTGCCCATTTCCTTTTCACTAAACCACTTAGTACTTTCCATCTGGCACTCACTCCTCCCACCACACACTAAAGTGAGCCAAAGGAATGTGTTAGTTAAAGATTCAGTCCAGCAGACTTTTACCTGAATCCTAGATCCTCTATAAACTCATCATATGCTTTGAAATAATTATTTAACTTCTCTGAGCCTATTTCTTTACTTGTAAAATGAGATAACAGTAGTAACTACTTCAAGAGGATACCAAATGGATTAACTAATATAATGAATTCAAAGTATTTGGCACAGCCCCCAGCACAAAAGAGCTCAACATTAATATTTGGTATAATTCCTCTCCTGGAAATATTTGATATTAATTTCTCTTGGAAAATAGGACCACACCCACTGTAAAACCTTTGCTCAAAGACCCAGCACCCATATCCATAGCTCTATCTAAGGAGACCTGCCCTCCCGAGGCCAGTTACATCTCCTTTAGGAAAACTTTCCTAACACTCTTTCCCACCACTGCAGGACCTTTGCCTATGCCCCGACTCATACCACCTCAGCCAGCTCAGATGACAGCCAACTTTGTGGGACTGCTCTACAGAGCTATGCAGGGCTGGGCTAGGCAAGGATACCACCTACACAAAAGAGGTCTTCCTGGGCACAAAGGAGACTCTCCAGAAGGACTCAAGAGAAAGGACTCCTTGAACAGATAAGGTATGGAGTAGAAAAGTAACTACAGGAAAGGCTCTCTAGAATGGTTCTTCTTCAGCAAAACACAGTTGAGATCTCTGGGCAAAGATGCAAAGGAGATAACATATAGCTAATATTCCAGCTTTTATCTAGCTACTAGGCACAAATCAGACTAGGACATGGAGTGGAGCACGAAGAAATTTTTCCTCAAATTTACCTGCGTAATTCTGCCTTCCTGAAGATTCTCTCGTTACTAAGGCAACATTATCCCAATTACATTCTTACCCTCCACATTGTCACACTGCTGAGCACAGCAACCTCCTACACATTTTCCTGGTTTTCACTGCAATTGTAACCCACCCATTAATAATGGTTTTCAACCTAAGTTATGCATTATAATTGCCTGAAGAGCTTTTAGAAATTGTGATACCCAGGCACACCCCAGACCAATTAAATCAGAATCTCTGGCACCAGTAATTGATCCAGGCACCAGTAATTTTTAAGCTCCCAGGCAATTCCAAAGTGCAGCCAAGGTTGGGAACCACTGCTTGGTTCTCAGTATAAGTCCTGATCTACATAGTCATGCATTGCTTAACAACAGGGTATGTTCTGAGAAATGCATCCTTACGCAATTTTATCATTGCACAAACATCATAGAGTGTGCTTACACAAACCTAGATGGTATAGCCTACTACACACCTAGGCTGTAGGCTCTAAGGTATAGCCAATTGCTCTTGGGCTACAAATCTGTACAACATGTTACTGTAGTGAATACCATAAGAAATTGTAACACAATGGTATTTGTGTATCAAAACATACCTAAACATAGAAAAAGTAAAGTAAAAACACGACAATATACACTTATGGTGTCAGACCACTGTCAGTCACATATCACTTTCCAAAACATTGTTATGTGGCTCATGATTGTACTTCTCCCATGTCCTTTAGGACCCCAATCCAACCTCACAGAGAAGCATCTGCAGCTAAGATAGTAAATTGCTTCAGAGATGCTGCTGAAGGGAGGAGAGACCTGATCCTGTTTCCTTAAAGAACTCAGACCAAGAACTACACACACACATACACATATACAAACACACCCTAACAGACACCTGCATTTTCTTTCCCTAATGCAGGAGGATGGGTAAGTGACTCAAGAGTATGAATTACACGCTGCAGTGAAGCTAGGAAAGTCACTGTCCTCCCCCTATCCAAGGCACAATTATCTAGCAGGACCTCTATGATGTCATGCAATGGCTTAGAGTCCAAGACCTCAGGTCTCACCTCCCTGGGCCACCTGGGGTTCCTGCAGCAGCCACTGCCCGGCCCAATCCCTTCCATACTCCACCATGTTGGTGGGTACCCCCCACCTGCTGACATTGGATGAAGCTGATGCCACCTGGACCCTCATCAAGGATAAGGTAGGTGAAGTAAGGAGGCTAAAGAGGAAGTAACAAAGTATGACCTCCATGGGTCTGAGCAGCTTGTGAGTAGGAAGGGGTGGGAAGTCTGAAGACAATAATAACCAACATTTACTCAGTGCTTCCATATGTGCCAAGCACTGCAGTAAAGTTATTGGCATGGACTGCCCCCATTTAATGACAACTGTAAAAATAGTAAAAACGTTCACTGAAAAGCAGTGTATAGGGAATTATGAACAAAGAGGAGACACGCTAAGTCAGGGGTGAGACAGGAGATCACGAAGGCTTCCTGGAAAGAGTGACATTCTAGCTAGGCAAGCAGGAGTTATTCACACAAAGAGGGAGAGGAGAACCTGACAAATAAAAGGTACTTAATAAATATCTGAATTAATGAGAAGGGGGGTGGTGAGTATATAATAATTTAATAGTAATTAAATGTAGAGCATTTGTAAAAACAAGGAGAGGAAAAATAATAATTCATATTTGAGAACTCCTAATAATCTTCTAGAGCAGAGTTCAAAGAAGCAGTAGTAAAAATAAAGCCAAAGAGATATAAGGGCTAATCTTAGAACCTGGACTTCCTACAGAACCAGCTTCCTACAGAATCTGAATTTTATCTGAAACTCTTTCACAGATCTCCTCCACCTTAACTTCCACAAAATAAGAAATTTGGATTTCGAGGCAGATTTTTATATTTTAAGGAGCAGGACAATCTCAGCTGTATCTGGGTTGCAGGTATCCAAAAATCCTACCAAATCACTTTTCAGTTGCAGGTTGGATGGCAGGAAATTTCAGATCAGATAATTTAGAATCAGATTCTGACTATGTGATTTGAAGGAAGGTGAATTTATAACATTCATAGAAGTCAGCCTACCAGGCTTAAAAAAAAAAAAAAAAATCTTAAAGCAGTGCCTACCACACTCAAAGAAGATTTAATGGCATGCTGCTTCCATTCCAAATAGGGTAGCTGCTTACCACAAAGGCCAGCTTCCCAGGGAAGCAAAATCAGGAGAACTCAAGGTCTTCCCAAGTATTAGAGCAACTGGTTTCAGCAGTGTAGAAGGTTGGTCCTGGACTAGATCAAGCAGAATTAGACTGAAAACAAACAGAGTCTCCCACTATTAGAAAGCTATGCCATCTCTGAGTATCAAAAAACTCATTATCCTATTTAAACTGAAAATTGTCAGGAAAATCGGAGTAGAGATATGCAGGATAAATCACTGGCATTATGGGGCAAATTCAAGGATTAGGTCACCTTTAAGTGACCTGGTTTCCTGTGTCCAAAACCACTGACAGTTTACTGAACATATGGTAAAACATTTGGCTAAACAGAATGTGGCTCAAGAACTCCACATTCAGAATTCGATGGAACCAAGGGACATCTAGGAAAACAATATTCCACCATCACTTTCCTGGGATGCCCCTGGAAAACCTAAATTTGTGGGCCTAAGGTCCATACAATTTCTATCCAGAAGCAAAAGTTCTGTAGGAGCACACAGTAGTCTTAAATAGTGATTCTACCAAGAACACAGTCTCCCTAACAAAGAACTGCTGAGCTCCTTATTTTTCCTATTTTAGGATAACCACTGGAGCTGTCAAGGTCAGGGAGAGTTAGAATTAGGCAACTTAATGCCTGTCAGCATATAGGAAGAGCATATGGGGAATAAAGAGCCTCCAGGTAAACCGAGATTCACCCTTTTAGCAGAAACTTGGATAATAAGCACCAGGTATTTTAAATGTCACACTCCTATCAGAGGGGGCTCTTCAACAGACACTCCCATTTATCTTACTTGTGCAGGATCCTTGACACCAAAGGAGCAGTTACGGTGAGATTCTGATGTCATGCTTGGTGCATCTGATTTCATGGTCATGGCGCAAGCATTGCATCCAAAAATGTCAACCCACCAGTGTTCTGCTCTCTCCCCTGGAAACCCCACTGGTCCTTCTCAGAGCCCCATCCAAAAGGAAGCATTCCAGTGAAGCAAAGGAGAAGGAATAATGGGAAACTCTCCCATGCAGACCACAAAAGAACATCAGTTATTCCTTTGGCCAGGTGACAAGACAGTAGTCTACAAGCTACCTCAGCTTATCCAAGGTGCAGATGCAACTCCATAGTTAGCTACCTTTCTCTTATGCTAGGAGGCAGTACTTCCAAAACAGCTTTGTAGCAAAAAGTAGATCAGCCTTAAGGAGCCACTGGTGAATTCTACCAGAAGGCCAACAAAGAGGGCAATGCCATCAGTACGGGCATAGCCATGCGGAATTTGGGCCTGGAGGTAGGGAGTAGAGTACAGCACTGTAAGCACTGGGCTCAAATATACGAGATGCCCTAAGAGGAAACTCTGTGTGCCCTTGCTCCCTAGTAGAGCAGAGAACCAGAAACGTCAGCCACAAAATCCTGAATGGGTTGAAACCATACTTAAGTACAATTACTAGACAGGCTCTTATGTTTCCCAGTTAGTCATGAAAAATAAACTTTCCAGGGTTACCAACCCCAAAAAGGCCATGACAAAACAACAACAAAACACACACACACACACACACACAATTAATTAAAATCCCTGAAAGCATACTTTAACTAACATTATAAATATGAGGCCTCAAATTCCCTATAAAAACTACCCCTTGCAGCTAGGGTAGAAGGTATATACTATGAGGTAACAGACATGGTAAAAGAATGGACATTCCGAATCTATTTCTATGTAACCTACTATTGACATCACCCATGTAACCAGTCACCTAAGAAGAATCCTTGAAGATTTTTTTTTTCTTTTTTGCTTGAGACTCTGTTGAGTGCAGTGGTGCCATCTCGGCTCATTGCAACCTCCGCCTCCCAGGTTCAAGCAATTCTCCTGCCTCAGTATCACAAGTAGCTGGGATTACAGGTGTGTGCCACTATGCCCGGCTAATTTTTCTATTTTTAGTAGAAACAGGGTTTCACCATGTTAGTCAGAATGATCTCCAACTCCTGACCTCAGGTGATCCACCTGTCTCGGCCTCCCAAAGTGCTGGGATTATAGGCATGAGCCAGCGTGCACCGCCGAGGATTCTTTTTTCCATATCTCCTAAGTGACCAAGTTCTACTAATTCTATAACCTAAATATCTCTAGTATCTTCCCCCTCTATTTTAGTTCAGGACCTTATCATGCCTTGCCTGGAGTATTGCCATACTCTTAGCTCATCTATCACCCTTATTTTATGCCTTCCTATTAAAAATTAGCTTTCTGGCCAGGCGCGGTAGCTCACACCTGTAATCTCAACACTTTGGGAGGCCGAGGCAGGTGGACTGCCTGAGCTCAGGAGTTCAAAACCAGCCTAGGCAACAGAGTGAAACCCCATCACTACTAAAAATACAAAAAATAAGCCAGGTGTGGTGGTGGGTGCCTGTAGTTCCAACTACTCAAGAGGCTGAGCCAGGACAATCACTTGAGCACAGGAGGCAGAGGTTTCAGTGAGCCAAGATCGCACCACTGCACTCCAGCCTAGGCAACAAAGGAGACTCAATTAAAAAAAAAAAAATAGCTTTCAAAAACACCTATCTGATCCTGTTCCTCCTACCCAGAGCCCTTCAAGCAGCTTCCCACTGCCTTCAGGGCAATTCACTTGACACACACACAAGCCTTTCATAATCTAGTTCCTGTGTGCCTTTCCCTCTTCATACCATACACACAAGCATTATAAAATTATGTGTTCCTAAATGTTCCCCCCTTGGTTTATAAATTCAGGTTTTCTCACTGGCTGACTCTTATGCCTGAATTGACCATTCTCCTACCTAGATAATTCCTTCAAAACTCAAGTATCACCATCTAGAAACCTTCCTTGATCCTCTTTCTATGAAAGGTAAAGACTGTTCAATCACTTCTTGTCTCCTTCACATCTTGCTCTCTATTAATATTTTACATAGCTGTTTACATTTTTGTCTTCTCCATTAGACTAAACTATATCAGGACAAAGACAAAGTCTCATTCTTTTATGTTTTCCCATTACCTAGATAGTTTGACATGTAGACATTCAAAGTTTTGCTGCAGGAGAGCTGGGAGATAAGCAGAAAGCACAAATCTGAACACTATAGAGATGTAACTGAACAGTGAACACTGGGGGTCAATTTAAAGTAGGCAACCAGTTAACTTCTGACCCTAAGTCCCTGACCTATAAACTGGCCACCTGCAGGTCATCGAGGAGCACTTTGGGCCCAATGCAGTAGCAGTCCCTTTCCTGTCAGATGCAGTCTGCTATGACCTACTGGGTGTGCTGGTAAAACAGTCCCGCCCAGCCCATACCCGCCTGGCTTTGCCAGGTCGGCAGGGTCGGAGGGCACTGAAACCAGTGGGGCCACTACCAAGCCTCCTGGAGCAGGCAGGATCTGAGGGTGCCTTCGCCCACTGCACTCGGGAATACTCACCAAATGGCCAAGCAGAGATAGCCTATGAAGAGATGCGAATGTTGGATGGGCAGCCATGCAAGATCCGCCTACAGATGGGTGGCCTGCGCAAGAAGGTTGCCTTCCTGTTGCTGCCACCAGGGCAGGTGAGCCTACAGCAGACTCTTTCCTGGCTCCGAAGCACCCACAGCATCTATGTCATCTACCAGGTCTTCTCTTGTTCCTGGCTGCAGCTGGGGCTGATGCCTACAGCCCATGAGCCCCAGCTCCTCCAGCTACATCAGTCATTACCTGTTGCCTTCTCCTGCCTCAAGTTTTCACTGCAGTCCAAGGGCGTGCTGGGACCACAGAAGCCTCTGACTAAAGACCCATTGCTCCATGGGGCCAACTGGGTCAGACTCAACCTCAGCATCATGCCACCTCTGGCCCCCACATCAGCACCTGCTGATACACCTGAAGCTGCTGATGTGCCCCCACCTGTCCCAGCTCCACCTACACCACCTCCCCAGGAAGGGCCAGAGGGCAAACCCACCAGATTCTCCTACAAGGGCCGAAACCCCTTCCGGAGGGGGCCCCAGATACTGTCAGGTACTGCTAGGGGAAAATGATGATGAGATGGATGGGAGGGACAAAGCGAAGGAGGGAGAAGGCATGAGAATTAAGTATGTGGGGAATCCATTACTCAGCACAGGGCTCTGGTGAAAGAGATGGAATGAGGGAGCCCGGGGAGGGTGAGATGGAATGAGAAGGCCCTGGTAAGGGGATTGGGATGGCACAGAGGACCAGAGGGAAAAGCTAGGGAGGAAAAAGACCAGCTATAAGTCAAGCTGTGACTATCCCCAACCCTGGCAGAGAACTGGCTCTTCAGCCCCCGCAGCCCTCCACCAGGAGCCCAGGGTGGGGGCCCCAGGGACCCCGACGGGCACTCCATGTCCCTGCCCCTGCTGCAGGGTCTATCCTCGGAGTTCGACAGCGACGACTGAAGCTGAAGCAAAAGATTCCGGGGGCAAAGCCCCCAAGATCTGGCATAGGGGTGCTGGTCTCTAATAAACATCAGCTGCTGCTCCCCCAAACCATCCTGGGCCCATGCTGCTTATTCCTTCTGGGATCCAGAGAAGAGGGAAGAGTCCCTTCACCCTCTAAGGGCATAAGGGGTACCCTGAAACCTTGGCAGCAATGTCCTCACCAAAGAGAAAATACTCCTGACCACCTCCCCCACTATATACAACCTTTTCTGGGGCCCCAGCCCCACAGAAAAAGAATGGGAAAGAAAAATGAGCACAGAATAGAGATTTCCCTTTTATACATATTGCAACAAGTTCTCCATAAAACATTCATCTGAAATAAATTAAAAAGTCCTTTTGCCACTGCCTCGAAACATAAAAAGGAGACTGTGCCCTAGCCCCAGCCCGGGCCCAGGCCACCCATGGCCCTGATTGTCCATGGAAGAAAGTTAAGGATTGAGGGGCCCATAGCCTGAGATGAGAGGGCCAGATCCTTCCTCTGAAGTCTCCAACAAGAAAGGTGAGGTGACGGCATGAGCCTGGGAGATGGCAGCCAACTCCTTGAGAAATTCAGGGAAAATGACTGCACAGTAGACAGCATTCTTGACTCGAAGAGCCTCACCTTGGCGTTCAGGGGCCCCGCCCCGGGCAGGTAGAACTGGAGTGGAAGCCCCAGGGGAGCCCCCACTTAGGCCAAGTCCTGCTCCGTCTCGCCCAGGCTGAAGGACCAATTGTGCTGCCTGCCGGGCCCTGGTTGGACTGTGTGCATGCCGCAGGAGTAACTCCCCCAAGGATGGCCTCCGGCTCTTCACTGGGAATAAACAGGGGTATCATGAAGGTGCTGGGATCAAGGAACCTCCCTTGGACTGAGAGGGGAGATTCCCCCACCCCCTAGGTTCTTGGACTTCTCCTTTAGGGTTCTGAGGAAATGGAAAAAAGGACAAAATGGACCAGAAATGAACCTCAGGTACCATTTCCTGTCCCATCCCTGAAGTTGACTCTGAGGACTAGAGTGAGGAGTTCTTTCTCACTCTAACACCAAAAATACTACCTGCCCAGCCTTTTTCCCTCTATCCAGCCTCCCCACCCAGCCAACCATCCTTCTCAGTCTTTAACTAATCAACACTTTAGCCACTTCATTCCCAGTTAAGATCCATTCCTTCTCCATGCCCTCTGACCCTGATGAATTCTCCTCTTTCCAATCACTAATCTACCACCACCAAGCTATTTCTCCTCTGTCTACAGCATGCCCTGATTTCATGCTTCCCATCACCCTTCCGAACCAGTCAACCACCTCTTTCCCAGCTTATCTGTAACACCCAATCCACATCCTCTGCTCCTACAATACCCACAGGGGCTATATATGCAATTATAGTTCAGTGACAATTTCACTTCTGTCATACTCTACTGTCCCTCCAAAATCTGCTCTTCACCATTCACCACTTCACCATTCACCAGTCCCTGTCCTGCACCAAAGCCTCTCTCCCACTGGTTGCAGTCAATTTCAAGTCAGCTTAGACTCAAGTGAGCCATTCAAAACAATGTCCTCTTGCCTCTAACATTCTGCCTAGATTTCTGGGTCTGGATCCATATCTACTATAAAGGCCTAGATTCTAATAACAATTCCCATTTCCTACATCTAATACTGGCTACAGAAATACTATACCGATCTATTAAATTTGGCATTCAGAGTCCTTCACAATCAGGCTCACACTCCTACAATTTCTTGTCAAACTCTCCACACCCATCTTGCTTTTGCATCCACATCTATCACCCTGGAACCCTCCAGGCACTTTTCATGCACCTGTAGCTCCCTCTGTCTAAATTTTCTTCTCCCTAATTTTTTCATCATTCTAGGTGAAATTTTATAATCCCCACTTCTCTAGGAAGCCTCCTCTTGATTTGTCTTCCACTGAATCCCAATTTTACTTCCCTTAACTCAACATACTTAATTTATTTCTATGTCTTCTACCTCACACACTAACCTGTGAGCTTAAGGGCTTAGACTGTGTCTTGTCTACCTTGTCTACCTGGCCCCTCTACAGTGACCCCAGCACCAGAACTGTAGAAGGAAGAAATATTTACAATACTAGACCATGAAGAAATCATGCAAAAGAACTTTACCTGAGACTTCACAGCTGTGCAGTAACTTTTGTGGTACTCTCTTCCCAACCCGTACACTTTTCTCATTAAGCCTCCTCCTCTGCTTTCAGCGTATCATTTTGCCTTCTACTTTGATTAGTAAATAAAGAATGATGTGAAATCCCTTTCTCCTCTATACTTCACAACTAACTGGCACCTGTCAGTTTCTTCTTGCTCTCTGCTCAGTTTCCTCAAAGGGAGAAAAACAAAAAGCCTTTTCCTGTCCAAAGTTAATCCTTTTCTATTGTTCTAGATCCCATTACTCCCAACACCTTTAGGACCTTCCTACTTCTGGTATTACATTCCTCTAGTCACTCTCCAGATTGTACATTCTTTGAAGGCAGACATTACATCTTGTACCTCCCTGAATTCCCTGTACCAAACACAATGCCCGGCACACATGGCAAATGTTCAAGATACTTGTTAAGCGAAAAGTCTAGATTTAAAACTTCATAACCACATTTAATTCTTCCTCCTTCCTTACACCACTCACCAAACTCTACCAACACTTCCTTCTCATTTCTGCCTCATTAAATGCTTCCCTTCCATGTCCACTATTCTAATTCAAGCCTCCCTGGTAACATCTACATATGGCAGAAGCCTCCTGATGCTTCCTGACTCTTTTCTCCTAGCTTGACTTCATCTGAGCTAACATAGTAATCTCTCCACTTCCAGCTTTAGAACTTCCAGTGGTTTTTCACTGCCTAAAACATCCCAACTTCTACTCTGAGAAATTGAGCTCCAGCCAAATCTCTCTAGCCTTACTACCAACTATTCCACCATCTTTTAAATCCCCTACTCCAACTAAACAGTCCAGGATCTCTCCTGAAAAAAAAAGATTCCCCACTCCTTTGCCTACTTAAGTCCTACCCAGCTCTCAAGGCCCATGTCAAATGTCATGTCCTTTACTAAGGTGTAATAATATCGCAACCTAGAGACTACTCTGTCCTCTTTCTTGTCCCCAAATTCTAGAGTAGTTTTTGCTAGAACTTCTCATCTGGCTCTTAATAGATAGAACTATGTTCTATCCTCTGACCAGAAGCCTGAAAACAAACATGAAGACTCAATTTTCTATAACTCACCAGGTCTTGGCACAACATTTCACTCTTAATAAGAGCTCAATTAACCTGGGTTAATAGGCTATTTAGGGAGGGCAGGTACAGGTGTGGTGGGATAGGCCTCACCTAGGGGATCAGAACGGCGCGGGGCAGGTCCTGCTGCAGGGCCCTCAGCCCAGTCCAACTTGCCACGGGCAATGAGGTACTTCTTGGCTTTGGATAGCAGTGCTGGGAAGTCCTCCTGGGAAGCCGCAAAGTTCTCAATCTTATTCTTCACAGAGCCCAGCACCTATGAAGCACACCTTCATGACATTTCTGAGCACCTCTAGACTGATACAGTCCTTTCTAGTCCCACTGGACCTGTTCCCAGCCCACCCACGGTCACTCCAGCTGCGGGCCAGGCCCACCATGGAGCCTGGACGCACCCACGCATGCATGCATCGCACACCTGCAGCAGGGACTTGACACTGGGCTGGAAGACCATGTTGGTGTTGAGCAGGAAAGAGCGGAGCAGGGGCTGGGGGTGACAGGCCAGCTGGGCCACCAGCCCCGTCAGCAGGAAGTTGACATAGACGGAGTTCTGCAGCATGTTCTCGAGTTTGGCAAAGAGCACAGCCATGAAGGGGCCTGGGTTGGGGGGGAGGTGGGCACAAGGATACAAGGCCTGAACACAATGCACGTCACACGCATTCCTCCCCAAAACAAGAGACCCCCACCAGATGAAAATTTTTTGTATGTCAGCCTCTGGGTATGTTTAAATATCCTGTGGCCACCTATTCTGGAGGAAATAAGATGGCAGACACCATATGGACCCACAAGATTCCAGATGCCAGCTTTACACACATTCAAGCTGACGAGCCAGATCTTAGGCTCTGAAGTCTGAGAGATCTGGTTTCACTGGCTTTGCCCTTTACTAGTTTGGACAGGTCAAAACTTTCCAAGCCTTATTTCCTAGTTCGTAAAATAGGAAAATATACCTACCTCATAAGGTGATGAATAGTTATCAATATAAAGCATTTAGCCTCAGATATGGCAAATTTTAAGTGTTCAATTATAATCGTAGATACAATTACATACTCTGTTTTTATAAAAGACTCACCCAAGAGGCACAATAGAAGAACAAATAGGTTGATAAAGTAACTAGGTCCAAAAAGAATTAGGTTCCACAAAAAACGGAGGATAACACTAAACCTGCTCAGAAAGAGAGCTAGAAGACGGTGTTGCAAAGACAAAGTAACTATGTAAGCCAATTTAAAGTTAGGGAAAAAAAATCTTTGGAGGACCAGAGAAGACATCAGTTTTGTCTTTCAGAAGCTGGGAACCAAGAAGGTGGAACAGAATATGTAGTAAAAGGATAGCTTAGTGCAGGGGCAGAGAAACTGACTGAGGACAGACCCTTTGGTGGGAGAGAAGGGAAGGGAAAGGATCAGTATTATCCACTGGGAAAATTGACCTCAGCTAAGCCAGATCACCAGCAGTAGGCCTCTATAGCCATCAAGTCCTTCTGATCAGTGATTTTTTTGGCGAAAGGGAGTATATCTAAGAACTGTACTATGAATTGAGACAGAAGAATGATGGAGGGCAGGATGGAGTGAATCCTGAAAAAGATCCTAAAACATTTTTCACTCCAGGGGCACATGTCTAACATTAGCTTCAAAACAACTCTAGCTTAACAGAGTCCTAAGATACCCCATAATTTTGTCCTATTCCTTTCATTTCCTGGAATTTTCTTGCCAAAAAAAAAAAAATTCGAAAAGCTCAGATAAGTGTACCAAAGGAAAACAAGACAAAAGCTTCAACTAATACTTCAAGAGTGTGGTAAAACCTGCACGTTACCGCCTGGTGGTACTGAGCTGAAAGGAATAGAGC